CCCTCCCTTTATTACGAAATCTGGAGTATGCACCAGGATCCTGTACACACCAGGAGCCGCTTCACTGTGCAACTTCCGGGGCAGGGCCGGAAGAAGCGTCGGCGCCTGCGGTGCGAGCTGCCGCTCCCGCCCCCCCAGGGAGGCGCCGGCGACCCCTCTCCAGGGTGGGCTGTTTCAGGAGGGAAAGAAACACACAGACACAATTAATCGTCGATCCCCAAGAAAATATGGGAAAATGTGGGAATTGGGCGGGAAGACAAAAGCTAAAAAAAAATAGGAAAATATGGGGAATCATTTTATTCGTGTGTATTTATTTGTGTGTCTCAGGGCCCCTTCACTGTTGCAGTGTGCCAGCTCCCGGTTGCGGGTGGGTGGGTGGCTCGTACGCCGTGCCCTGGAGGTCGCTGGCAACCTCCAGGCGGGGACGGGTTCGGCGCAGCTCTCTTTCTCTCTCTCTCTCTCTCTCGGGGGCGTTGCGATCAGGATCCCCTTCTCAGGCATGGCGCGGACATTCTGTTCGCGACGTGTGCTGTGCTGTCGTACCTCTCGATCCCCTGCCCCAGACTATTTCTGCGTCCTGGGTAGTTTTTTGATAGCCCTGAGCCCTGAAAATGGATTCCAATGGCCCGAGATGTCATCAAACTTTGCAGTCGCGGCTTTGCTCGGGCCAGCGGATGCATGGGTTCCCCCTTCACGTACCCCCAGTTCAGTCTTCGCCCTCCCCCTTGGGAGTGTGTGTGTGTGTGTGTGCGTGTGGGTGTGTCTTGGCATCGCTCCGACGTGTGCATCTTTTCTCGGCGAGGACCATCGGGGAGCATCCTGCATCACCTGGCCCATCAAGCATGCGCGAAATCGAAAATTGCCTGGGGAATGGCCGTCTGAGCGATGGCGAGGTGTGTGTGTGTGTGTGTGTGCTCAGCCCTGGAGGCCCAAGCACCATGTCAGCACCCAGGATTGGCCAGGCCAGGCACGGCGTATTTCAGAAGCACAGCGAGGTCGCCCAGGACCCCTTCCCTGGGGCTGGTTTCTCCTCCCGGGTTGTTTTCTGACGGCCCTTGGGGCGGGTGATCGGCTGCACGTAAGAGTGACCCTTCGCTTGAGTGACCCCACCGGGCCTCCACCCCGATCGCTGAGCGCGATGCGATAGTGGCTGCCTGCGCGCCTGGATGTAGCCAGACTGTGCCCCCTTCGTCCGCGCGCCGAAGGTCACTCTTGCCCAGGGTCACTCTTGCGCGTACGGTAGGTTCGCGTCGTGTCGACCGGCGGCGACCCCGACGCCGGCGTTCAAGGTTGAACGCCGCCGGCGACCCAGAATCGATCGATGTTGAACGATCGGACGTTGCGGCAGCGGCCGATTGTTCAAGGTCGAACGATCCCCGCGGTGTCAGAAACCAACGCCGGGGTCGACACGACGCGAACCTGCCGTAGCCGAGGTGAGGGCCCCCAAGGGGCGGACGCGAAGACGTCGGGGCGCTCCGAGGCCACCCAGCTGACGCAGCTGCAGCGGCTGGGCCAGCCGTACTTCCTGCCGCGGGGCCGGCGGAGCGGCTGGCACTTCCTCGGCCTCCTGGCCGCGCTGGGCCTCTGCGTCGTCCAGGGGAGCGCGAGAGAGATGCGCCCGTGGCGCTCCCACGCCAGAAATCAGTGGACGTCCTGGGGCCTCAGGGTTGGGTTTCTCTGCAAGAGCGGTTTTTTGAAGGCAGATCTGCCTTCAAAAAACCGTGCTTACAGAGTAGACCATTTTTTGAAGGCAGATCTGCCTTCAAAAAACCGTTCTTACAGAGTGGACCATTTTTTGAAGGCAGATCTGCCTTCAAAAAACCGTTCTTACAGAGTGGAAGGTCTCTTGTGGTCGAGCTCTCACTGCAGAGGGAGGCCAGCTAAGGGGGGGGAAGGCATCGCGCTGGGATCGGTGGCGCGTCGCCGAGGGGTCGGCGATAGGCCCCCGGAGAGCGAGTCCGCTCGCTCCCTGGGCGGGGTGGGCTGTCGGGCGGCGACGAGTGGGCGAGTTGGGGTCGGTGCCCCCCCAGCACCTTCAAGGTGACTCGAATCATACGAATAGGTTCGTGGACATAGCTCGAGTAGCAGACCGAGTTCAGGCCTCTGGATGCAACAGATGAACGCGCCTGATGATTCTGGATGGGTTTCTGTGAATATCAGCTCTGTAGCTGCCCTACAGCTCGAGTTGAGTACAGAAAACCGACAGCATCTGTCAAGGTGACTCGCATATCGGCCTCCGGTAGCGAGTCCGCACGTTCTTGGGCGGGGTGGGCTATCGGACGGCGATGAGTGGGCGAGTTGGGGTCGGTGCCCCCCCCCCCCCCTCCGAGCATATCGGCTTCCGATAGCGAGTCCGCACGTTCCTGGGCGGGGTGGGCTATCGGGCTCCTATCGGCGATGAGCGGGCGAGTTGGGGTTGATGCACCCCCCCCCCGCGCATATCTCCGCCCCCTAGAGCGTTGCCCCTGAAGGTGGTGATCCCCCACCCCCCCTGGAACGCCAGAGCGGGCCCTGGACCTCCTGGTGTCGTGGACGACATCGAGGCGCGAGGCTTTTGGCAGTCCTCGGTGCCCCGGGGGCCCAGAGATCCAGCGTCTCGAACAGATCGAGACGGCGGTTTGTTGTTCGTAGTTTTTCGGTAGAGAAACAAACGAGACGGAGGGTTTCATAGTTTTCGGCTTCTCGGGGCCCTCACCAGGCCTCGGGACCGCGAAACGCCGGCTCGGGAGGAGAAGCTGGTCCCGAGGAAGGGGTCGAGACGTCGGGGGCCCGTGCTCTGGAAACATCGAGGCGCCAGATTCGGAGGGCACCAACTACACACCAACACCGATCCTGGCCCAGGATCGCCCTGGGCCCAGGATCGGTGTATATATGCCTTCTTGCGCAAGGCAGGAGGGCGTACACACCGATCCTGGGCCCGGGGTGATCCTGGGCCAGGATCGGTGTTGGTGTGTAGTTGGTGCCTTCCTACAGATGTGTTTGGGAATGGGGTCCGAGCAGATGGGGTCGGAGGATCGCGCCGCGTCCCCGATGCGTCGAGGACGCCCCCGCCCTCGGCGTCCTCCCAGGAGGAGGGAGGAGGAGGAGGAGGAGGAGGAGGAGGAGGAGGAGGAGGAGGAGGAAGGAGGAGGAGGAGGAGGAGAGAGGAGGAGAGAGGAGGAATAGGAGGAGGAACAGGAGGGGAAGGAGGAGGGGAGGAGGAGGAGGAGGAGGGGAGGAGGAGGAGGAGGAGGGAGGGGAGGAGGAGGAGGAGGAGGAGGGAAGGAGGAGGAGGAGGAGGAGTCGCGCCGCGTCGCCGATGCGTCGAGGACGCCCCCGCCCTCGGCGTCCTCCCAGGAGCCGGAGAGAGAGGGGTGTTTTGGTCCCCCGCTCGCCCCCCTTCCTGGAAGGCAGGAGCGGGCGCCGAGCCCCTCCTCCTCCTCCTCCTCCTCCTCCTCCTCCTCCTCCTCCTCCTCCTCCTCCTCCTCCTCCTCCTCCTCCTCCTCCTCCTCTCCTCCTCCTCCTCCTCCGCCTCCTCCTCCTCCTTCCCCCCCCTCCTCCTCTCTCTCCTCCTCCTCCTCTTCCTCCTCCTCCTCTCCTTCTTCTCCTCCTCCTACCTCCTCCTCCTCCTCCTCCTCCTCCTCCTCCTCCTCCTCCTCCTCTCCTCCTCCTCCTTCCTACTCCTCCTCCTCCTCCTCCTCCTCCTCCTCCTCCTCCTCCTCCCCTTTGGGCTTCTCTTTGACTCTCAAGTCGATTACGCCATTATCAGACGTCTCAATGAAGAGAACATTCACTGCAGTGGGCTCCAGAGTCGTTTTTGAGACGAGGAAGAGTCCGAACCGGACCCTGGGCGTTTCCTCGGAGCTCGCTTTTTCCGCGGAACTTCCGTAGATCAGGACCTGTATTACTGTTCAAGAAAACTCTCCGAGGTAAGTGCAATTGCTTCACACTTCTCTAAGTCGGAGCAGTGGTGCAAGCATGCCCGAAGAGACCATACCCAGAACGACCGTGCCCAAAGCGACACTTCAATTCGTTTTGGCATTCTCAGAAGCATGGATGCCAACTTGCACATCTTGCGCACGCCCAGCGACCCCACATGCCCGCCTGAGGCACGCGGGCTTAAGTTGGCCTCCCAGAGTTTTTAACCAAGAACCCCCCCCCTGAGATCCGGGCGTTGCCATTTTGTCTCCGCGGGTGTTTTCGCCAGGTTTCGGGCCCCGGGACCATCACAGGTCGGTCCGGCTCGAGAAATGCCGCAGTGAGGAGATGGGGTCTGATGCTGTGGTCGTGATGCTTCGCGAGGTTTCATTTTCTTCGCGACGCCGGATCTCAGGACCCCTCGGAGGCCTCGCGATTCTGACCCGCCGTGTGCGATTCGATCTCGATGCTCTGGCGATCCGATGCGGCCCGATGCTCGCACGGCGCTGTTTTGGGGTGCTGCCAGAAGTGGTCGTGGCCCGAGGTGTCCCGAGCTTTTTGCGCCATGTGGGAGCCCCTGGGGTCCTCTGAGCTTCGTGAGGGGTGCCCTGCAGGCCATCTGGCCTCCCCAGGAGTCCTGGGAACACCTTGGGGCCGCGGACACCTCTGGCAAAATCCGACTGCTGTGCATCCTGGCGCATCGCGAGGTGCTGCGTGAGGTGCTGCGTGAGGCTCCGGCCCACCGCTTTAGGTTAATTCGACTGTGCGCGCCCCGCTCTGACTGGACTCGCCGCTGGCGCGCTCGCCTGCGGCCGCTGACTAAAAATCCTGGCGCAGCCGATCCGATTCGGCTTCGAGTCCTCGCCGATGATGCGGGCCGTTCTGGCGCACGTTCCGATTCGACCCGATTCCCGATTCGATGCTGACCTTAAGTCGGGCCTGTCCCCCTACAGGGGGTTTTCGACGAATAATGAGAATTCCCCCCAAAATAGCACAAAAGCAGTCCAAAAATAGTCTGGGGACCATTTTTGATTACTTTTTGACCTTTTTGTTTTTTGTTGTTTTCGTCGAAAATCCCCCTGTAGGGGGACACGCCCGACGTAATGCTGACCGATGGTGGGCATGGGGTCGGCGTGCCTGTCGCGCTCCCCGTCGTTGGGGCCGGGCTGGTGCTGCTGACGGCCCTGCTGCACCTGGTGTTCGCGCTGTGCCCCGACGTCGGCGAGCGCGTGTTCTCGGGCGCCCGGGGCCTGGTCGACGGTCTGTGGGGCGGCGTTCGCGGGCCAGCCATCGTGGCTTTGGCCCTCGGGGGCGGCGTCACGTTTGGCTGCTTCCGGCGCGAGCTGCGAGGGATGTGGAGCCAGTGGCTCTTGCTGGGGCTCATCGTGCTGGTTCTCTTCTCCGTTAACGCGATGAATACGGGCATCGGCTTTGTGGCGAATTACCTGACGCAAGCGATGGTAGAGAAGGCGTCGGACACGTACTACAGATGGCTCGAGATCTACGCGAGCTGTTTTATTGTGGCGCTGCCAGTGCTGACGATGCAGTATTACGTGCGGGCCAAGCTGGGCATACTGTGGCGGAGCTGGCTGACATGCCACCTGGTCGAGGGTTGGACGTCGCACAGGGCTTATTATGTACTCAATGCGAATGACGAGAAGGCCGCGGACGAGGGTTTTGACAATCCCGACCAACGCATCGCTCAGGATATTGATACCTTCACCAGGCCGGCGCTCGGAGTGAATGATGCAGACGACGAATCGAAGTGGATGCTCTGACGTGGAACGAGACGAGAGCGAACGACATGGGATCACGGAAAAGACTGCAATGTATCGATCTGGAATGAATCGTGGTGAGCGCCTCCTCCTCCTTCCCCATCTCTGAACGAAGAATCGCACGGACGAGCTCGCTACTCAATGAATGAACGAATGGAACCAGTGGATTGCAATGGGGCGGAGCGACATAGAATTGGTGCGTGCATGAGCGAGAGAGTCACTGATTGAAATGAGGATAGGGAGGAGACGGAGCAGGAAAATGAGGAGCAGGAGTGAGAAGCAGGAGGAGGAGGATGAGGATGGGGAGGAGAGGACGATCGATAGAGCGAGGTGGTACTGGGCAGGATTCAAAATTCGAGTGACAGAAGTGATGAGTGAGGTTACGTATGGATGCGTGAGGGGGAGAATAAGCGAATAAGGTTTTCCAATAGGGTAAAAAGAAGCATCTCCAGCATGACACTCAACTACCTCATCGGTACGATCGACTCCTTGACGAGCCTGGGCATGAATATCTTCGTGTTGTGGCACATGAATTCAACCGTCACGAAAGTGCTAGTGTCGTGGTCCATTGGGATGACTGCTATCATTCTCGTCCTGAGCAGGTACCTCGTAGGGATCAATTATCGCCAGCTCAAGCTTGAGGCAGACTTCCGGTACAGCCTGGTGCACGTGCGCGACAATGCAGAGTCCATCGCGTTCTATAGTGGCGAGGCGTCGGAGAGGTTGGAGATACGCCAGCGCCTCGGCTCCGTGGTTGGGAATTACAACAGTTTGATCATATGGAATGTGGGGATTTCCGTGGTTAGCAAAATGTACACTTACGGGAGCGTGTTTGTGCCGTTCGTCGTCATGGGGCCTTCTGTTCTCTCGGGGGAGCTGACGTTCGGCGATTTCAACCAAGCGCAGTTTACATTCAGAATGGTGGAGGGCGCGCTAGCCTTCATCGCGGATAGCATCAGCAGTATGACAGCCTGGGTCGCAGGCGTCGAGCGTGGAACGATCTCAGTGGACTCCGAGGAGGATGAAGACGAGGAGGACCAGAGCACGCCAAGGAAACACCAACGATGCTTCAAATACGCTTTCCGTCCCAAGGCCACTCCTCACAACTCCCCGAAGGCAGTAGTCCTCTTCACCACGGGACGCGCTCCCTGAAATTGGCGAGCGCACCATGGGCTTGCCATTCGTTCGAGAGTCCCATTAACAAGAAGGACAAGCAATTTCCCCAGCAGCGCTTGCTCTAAGGGGCCTTTTGTTGTGAAGGCCTTACGGCCTGTGCTGCCGACCTGGAGTGGGGGAGCCGGAGGCGCCTGGAAAGCAAGGCATCGAGGGGGAATGCTTCTGTCAAGGGGGGTGCCCCCCCAGGGGGATGGGGCGGGTTCACAGCCCCCAGGACCCCACCTCCCCCTGGGCGCCCCCCCTACACCTCTCTGGACCCCCCCCTCCTACCCCCCTCACGCCCCCCCGCCCCCGCGGGGAAGGGATCAGAGGGAAGGGCCATCGACCTGATAACGACGTTTGAACAGGAGGACCCACGGACAAGGACAGGGTGGAGCGGTGACGGCGACAACGACGACGACGACGAAAACGGACAAGCCTCTCACACGCCGACTTGGTTGGCGGATTTTAAAGAATTGACTGGGAGTTTTGGGTTTTCGGCTGCTGGGAGCCCGCAGCCACCTCGTGGGCGCCTCGCGTTGTCGTGAGTTCTGGGTTCCGTGGGCGCCTCGTGCGCTGGCTGTACTACATAGTTTGCAACACGTAGCTTGCACAACAAAGCCTGCACGATTCAACTTATACTACGTAGACTGCTCCAGATAGCTTACACCGCGTAGATTACGCCACCTAGCTTGCACCACAAAGCTTACCCCACATAACTTGCAACGCATAGCTTGCACTACATAGCTCACAACATATATATATATATATATACATATTGCATCACATACCTTGCAACACATGCTTGCACAGCAGTGATCCCAACGCACAGCTTCCACAAAACATCGTGCACCACATAGGTTCCTCCACATTGCTTCCACCGCACAGCTGGCACCACATTGTTTCCACAGCGCAGCGTGCACATTTACGGTGTACTAACACACCATTGGGGGTCCACGGTGGCAATCATATTATGAAAGTGAATGCGGACTAGTTGGGCCATATACATACCTATATATAGATACATAGCAAGCAAGCGTGCAGGGCTAGCTCTAGATAAGTCGCTTATGACATAGAGCGGCCCTCCACCCGTGTAACAGTTGCGCGACTTTTGTTTTTTGGTGGTGAGTTTAGATGACGTCTTAAGCGGACGCCGCAGTTTGACGAGGAACCGCTTTCTATCCGTGTCACTGTTGCACTGTTTTACATGTCTGAAGCCTCAAGCGAGGTTCCATTTGGAAGGAGCCTCCTTCCATTTTTGACACTGTTGGGAAAAGTTAGAACGACGGTGCGCGTTGCTAAGGCGAGATATGTTGACAACGAGCTGCCTTCCATCCTTGTAGTTGGTGGAAGTGATGAAACGATTGCTGGTGGCGCTAAGGCGAGAACCACGTCTTGAAAACCAATCGCGCTTCATCCATGTATTTGTCTGGAACTTTTTCAGACGAATGTGCGCTGCAACGGTGCGAGAGCCACATAACGGAAACCATTCGCCCTGCATCTTTGTAGTTGTCGGAGTATTCTGAAGCGAATGTGCGCGGCGCTAAGGCGAGAACCACATAGTGAAACCAGTTCGCCCTCCATCTTTATAACAGTTGGAGGTTGCAAGACGAATGTGCTCGGTGTTATGGCTAGATCCACAGCCCTCCATCCATTTAAATGTTGTACGTTTCAAGGTTCAGGGTAACACTCGGTGAGGAAGTCTCAGGTGAAGAACGAGGCCCGCCCTACCGATGCGCATGGTGGTGCGACAAGCAGGGGGCTTTACCGAAGACGGATGGAGGAGCAGGACGATGAGCATGATATTGAGGAGACGGACACGGAGGACGAGGTGGTTGATGATGGCGAGGAGGAGAAATTGGGAAGATGAGGAAGGGATGATGATGAGGAGGAGGAGGAGGAGACGGAATCTGACGTTATCGACGCTGTTGATGATTGTAAGGGGGATGAGGATGAAGTTGATGATGGTGATGATGACGACGATGATGATCATGCTGATGATGCTGATGAAGATGATGGTGATGATGATGATGCTGATGTCGATGGTGATGGTGATGCTTATGAGTATGATCATATTGGTGATGGTGATGATGCCGATGACGATGGCGACGGCAATGATGGTGCTGCTGCTGATGACGATGACCAGGATTGTGATGGCTGCTGATGATGACGGGACTGAGGATGACGATGACGAGGATGTTGATGATGTCGAGGATGAATCTGATGGGGATCAGGACGACGATGAGGATGTTGTCGCTGCTGATGATGGCGATGCCGATTTTGATGATGATGATGCTGCTGCTGCTGATGAGGATGGCGACGACGATGACGATGCTAATGTTAATGGTGTGGGTGATTCTGCTGCTGCTGATGACGACGATGAGGCTGATGCGACAGCTGATGATGGCGATGATGGTGGTGGTGGTGATGATGTGGATGATGCTGAGCATGCTGCTGCAGATGATGCGGTTGCTGTTGTTGGTAATGCTGTTGATGTGTGTTGATGATGACGATGATGATGATGATGATGATGATGATGATGATGATGATGATGAGGATGATGATGATGATGATGATGATGATGATGATGTTGATGGTCATGATAAAAATGCTGATGTGGAAGCTGATGGTGACGATGCTGATGATGACGCTGCTGCTGATGATGCTGATGATGGTGATGACGGTGATGGTTATGTCGCTGCTGATGAGGATGAGGCTGATGGTAACGCTATTGATGATTATGAGTATGATGCTGATGCTGATGCTGATGCTGCTGCTGCTGACGATGATGATGCTGATGATGATGTTAATGTTGATGATGATAACGATGATGAGGATGCGGATGA